GGTCACAGGTTTAGTTTAGTCTAAGTCTTAAATAAAGTGCGTGTTCAGTTCACGAGGTAGTTTTGCTCACAACTTAAACAGCGGCTATAAAAAATAATGAAGTTGATGATGGTTTCAGAAAACCGAAACGTGCTAAAAAAATCTAATCGCACATGCGTATTCTGCACAAAGAGTTGCTTTAAAAGTGTTTTTACAGACTTCAGAAATTATTCAATACTAAAAGATTTACAGCCCATTTTCAAAAGACAATCACCTTTTCAGTTTTTTCTAAATATCTCAAAAATGTGAATAGCTACCTAGACTCAATCTGCAAACGCTATTCAACGTCTAACGTAATTGTCTAAAACTTTTCCCATTTAATCTCCCTCGTATCTGTCATAGTTTCCTAAATCCTAATACATTCCCTACCAGTTTGGGACACACTGTATAATTGAAGAGGAAAGACATTTATACAAGGCTTGGACAAATACTATTCCGTAATTCAGTTTATGTCTCTCGCCTTTTATTTCCATTGCTTATCAACGTCCTAGAACATACTTTCAATTTAAACTCCAGTTAACTCAAAATTATCCAATTATTGAATATTATTCCGAGGGTTAACCAAAATCAAAACCAAATATTTTGGGACATCTTAATTTTCTTATAATTTCAATCTGTTTACCCCAAAAACTTTGAAATTTGCCCGTCAACAGTTCTTTTCGAAAATCATTAAAATTTAAAAATTTGTTTTAATCTACGTCTGTGTCATTATGACACATTTAGCATTGTCATTTGAATGTCTGCTAAAAACACCTAAATTATGAAATGAAAAATATACAAAAAGAAAGTTAGTTACCAGAAGAACCTTTTCATTGATGCTGTCTCGATATTCGTAGGAACACTTTCGAACTCAGAATCACCAATATTAATATTATTTTCCACTATAAAACTGAATATGAACTTTATTAATGAAACTTGTGTAACTAAACCACTCGGCTAACGCCTCGTGGTTTAACGTTACACGCGTTTCATTATGGGATGTATCTAAGTATCATTAATAACTATAATTTGTTTTTTTGTTTGATTGTTGATTTTCAAGATTTTTTCATGTTGCTATTTTTATCGAATTAATTTGAAATTTCAGCATGATTAGCTCTCCTCTTTCCACTCCGAAAGTTTCAAAATTTTCCCATCAACAGTTTTTTGAAAAAAATTATCAAAATGTGAAAGGGTGCATTTCTCTCAAATATCAAAATACGTCTATAGCTTGTACAGTGTGTCCCATTTTGGTTTTACGTAAGGGATATCTCAGTTGCTATTGGAGTTAGAAGAATGCAGTTTTCGCGAACGTTGCTACTTTTTTGTCAAACGAAAGATGCCGTCAACAAAATTGTCATCGCCCTTTTCGTTTCTCAGATACAAGGTGTTTTCGAAAATGTTGCATTTTGTTGTATCTCGGTTCTCCCATATGTGCTCGAAAAGATGACAACGGGTTCTTATAGATCTTTCTACGTAAATTCCAGTGGCGAAGTCAGTTTTTCTCTAGAAGTGATAGTTTTTAAATTATGAACCAAACAAGTTTTTTCAAATGAGACACCCTGTATATTAATAGCTCATTGGATAGCTCTGCTTTTGCTGATTTCAATGATATGAAGTTCGGTAGGTTTATCTCTATCATGTCGGTTTTTGCCATAAGAAACAATGTGTCAGAAAAGGACTTTGCATCTGTAAGGGAAATGAGAAAAATCTCTTTCTAACACATTGTTTCTTATGACTAAAACAGATAAAAATGTTTTGCTTATTATAAAAACCTATCGAATTTTATATCATTGAAATCAGCAAAACCAGAGCTATCAAATAAGTTCATAATCTATAGGGTGTCTCATTTGAAAAAACGCATGTTTGGTTCATAATTCAAAAATTATCGTTCTAGAGAAAAACTGATTTCGCCACTGGAATCTAGGTAGAAAGATCTATAAGAACCCGTTGTCACCTTTTTGACCACTTATGAGAGAACCGAGATACAAGGGGTGTCCCATAATACAACTTTTTCAAAAAAAAACCTTCTATCTGAAAAACAAAAAGGGCGATGAAAATTCTGTTGATGCCATATTTCGTTTGACAAAAAAGTAGCTAACGTTCGCGAAAACCGCATCCTTCTAACTCCAATATCAACCGAGTTATCCCTCATGTACAATCAAAATGGGACACACTGGACATTGTACTTACCAAGTCAATTATTATTTAGTAGACGAACAAAAATTACTGATTAATGAAAAACTTCTGAAACCATAAATTTAACAAAATTTGGAAAATAAGTTAAAGGCAATTGCTTTAAAAAATAAACAAAATTATGACAGAAAAGCACCAAAATCGGAAAAATAATATGATGTAGGTGATAAATTCAAAAGAGGAAGACGTTTAATGATATGGCAACCAACTTGAGGATGACAATAGGTGAGACTTTGTCAATTTTCAATAAAAGTTCTCATTAAAATATCTGCTCGATTGTCTGTTATCACAAGATAACACAACACTGATACTTCTATTATTATTATTTATAACATCAGACTATCCAGATCTTATGAATTGAACAAATATAATTTTAGATCTGGAGGACAGTCCATAACTTGTGGTTTATGGAAAAGCTCTTTTGAAAGATTTAAATATCACAAATAAAAAGGCTTTGAATTATTATTCTGCGTTCCAAACTTACCAATTTAATGCTGATGCAGTTTTTCCAAAATATTCAGGGATTTCTAGAGTTGAGAATAGCAAGAGCTGATAAAATCTCTGTTCAGATAGAGTATAAAGTTTAGAAATATTTTGACTTATTTAGAATCCAAAACTAAAAAAGTATCAAGAAAACTTCTGATATACCTCTATGTATTTCAGTTGCTAGCTCCTAGAATCACGTCAGTTAGACTTCCTATTTTTTAATGCCAAAAATATCAAAAAATCCAAAATAATATCATTCACTTACCACAACAAACACTATCACTTTCGCCCCCATACTGGTTGCGTTTCAAATTCGATGCAAACAAAAGGTGCACACCTGACTGAGCCCTTTAAAAAACCTGTAGTACCCTCATAGACTGACCATCACCGTGAAGCTCAGAGTGCAATGACTTTTTGCCTTTCTGCCCTGCCGCGCTCTTCTACCTGTCGGGGGCTCTATGTTTTGAGTTTAGATCATCTTTACTTGCGCAACTAGCGTAACAGAATCACTGTCTGTAACTCCCTCGAACCACCTTTTTGTTGTGTGAGGCCTAAGTTGTTTTCGTTTCGGCCAGAGACTACTTATTATTTTGTTGGTGATTTGTTTTTTTATTTTGCTTTGATTTTTAAAACGTTTCTCTATACTTTGTTAAACCCATAATTTCTCAACAAGCAAACATTTATGTTGAGGTCCACACAAGAAAACTATGAACCATATAGGTGAAGGATAATAAAATAATCAAAAGTACAGCTTCTCGTATACCTATTGAGGGTACTTTACTTAATATATATATTTTTTTTTAATGGAACTTTCATCGAATTTCAAAAATATGGCAACAAGGTCAGTGAATATGGAGGAATAATAATGCTATTAACCATTGCAACAAAGGTATTAGAAAAATAATTGCAAGTTATAAAAATTAATGAGAAAACCCAAAAAGTTAATTCTCTACGTCAGACAATGAAAAATATATAATGTTGCACTACGGCCTGTAAGCTCAATACAAAAAACCCATTTTCTAAATTCTATCCATTTTCATAATCCCATATACCGTGACCACTACTTAAAGGTGTCCTATTTTAACTTTTTATCTTTACGAAAATGTTTATTGATGGCCAATGCCCATATAACCACCATCGCCTTTATGCCCACATAGCTCAGTTTTGTTGACCCCGTCGTTTAGTAGAATCTTTGTTCTATGGGCTCTATAAACTGGTTTTGGGTTAGTTAATCAGATGCACGTACACGATACTTTTTAAATTATTTAATTGCCAGCTTTATGTTTTGTGACTCATGCAATAATTAAATTGGAATCCAATCATGAAATATAAAATAGCACCAGCTGAGTAAAAATTGGCAAGCCTATTCGATTTCTTGATTAAATTTTAGTGCATAATATTATATTAATATTATCACATACTTTATTTGAAACCATAACATTAGGGATTTTATGATTTCTGTATCCAAATTAAATAGTCATTTTAGATATTCAAATTGTGAAATTTTCAAAGAAGAAAAAATGTAATATAATATTACAATGAACCATCAGAGGTCAACAAAATTACTCGAGAGGAATCTCCATTTTCCCAAGCTTTTTTTGAATATTTAATCCAGCATGAAATTTAATCTAGTCCTCATAAAACATGTTAAAGGGATCCCAAATTATCTTTGGTAGGACAATTAACATACCAGACAAGCTAAACCCTTTAATTAGAAAATAGTTCCGATACGGTGCTAATGCCCTTCGGTTTATTTATGGTTGTTTTGACTCGACTTTTTGGTATGTAAATTATTATCCTGTGACGATCAAAGTATTATGGTGCCTATTTACAAACATGTTTGAAAATTTTAATAGAATTCACCAATTACCAAAGAATTCCTAGAGCAAGAAATGTGGGTGAAATAAATTTTGACTGAAAATAATAATTCATTGTTCTTCTATTTCCTTAAGAAGTCAAAATTAATCGATAAAACTTCAACAACTCTCAATATGGTCATTGATTGTTTCAACTGACTCCAGGTAAATAACTCATTTTGATGTTGTTTGAAAATTGGTGGTGGAGGATTTGAATTCTGCGTCAACAGGGGAAATACCATTGGTCTAAAATCACAACCCTAAGCCCAGTCAGAAGGGACTTGATCCACATTAGAATTCAATTCTTCTGCAGCTTGATTGATTAAACGTTTTGTGCCGCACTATTTAAAATGCTTTGGATAAAAATTTATAAACCGAGTTAACTTGTCCTCTCTGTTGTACTTTATGATATAATGTAAACTGAAACATAAACTTCTTCTTTTCTAGGAACAAGATGAAACCACCCCGTACAACCACACAACTACCCCATCTTACATGGACCCCTCGGCATTCACTCCCAAAATCAACGTAAAAGCTTTGTACGATTACAGGGCGCAACAGCCCGACGAGCTGTCATTCTGCCGTCACGCCATCATTACCAACGTGACGAAACCGCCGGACAGTTCTGATTGGTGGCGGGGTGATTATGGGGGAGCTAAACAGCTCTATTTTCCAGCTACTTATGTTGAGGAACTTGAGAGAAGTGCAACGAATGTTGAAGAAGAAGGGGTAAGTAAAGACTTGATAGTTTCAGCTATATAAAGTTTCATTAACGGCAACACAGAACAAAAGAATGACACGCTTGACAAGAAGGAATGTTCTCCAAGATGTCGTGTCGTTTGTTTTCCTAATTGTCATTTGTTTTCCTAATTGTCATATTATGTTTTGCTTGTTGTTATGGTTTTAACCTTAGATGTTTTTAACACGTTTAATCAGTTTCCAATATATTCATCGTTAATGTATGTAGTATGTTTTGTTCTCATAGAAAATGAAGAGTTAGATAGTGTTGATCGTGTTGCTGTTCTGAGTTTTATTCCTACCAGGGACATAACATTTTTGGCGACGAGGATGGAATTGCGTCGACCGTAATCGTCAGAATTTGCATGCGTGCAGTGTAGTTATGACGGCGTTAGGAAATATTGAATAGTTTAACGTAAATGACCCGAATTCTTGGGAATCATTTCAAGAAAGGTTAGAGTTTTTCTTCACAGCGAATGAAATTACCACAGAAGGAAAGAAAAGAGCAGTTTTTCTCAGTTTGTGTGGACCCCTCCACGTATGATATACTTCGCACATTAGTTGCGCCAGCCAAGATGATAAGTAGTATGAAGAAATCACAAAAGTCTTGAAAGTTTATGTCAAAGATCTCCGCACCTTGCTGAAAATTGTGGTTTTGTTACGGCCCTGGAAACCATGCTATGGGATAGACTGGTGTGTGGTGTGTCTAATGAAGATCTCCAGCGCCGGCTGCTAGCGATAAAAGACATTAATTTTAAAAAAGCACTAGATTCCTACATCGCTGACGAAGCAGCCACCCGAAATTTATCCGTACTTAAAGAATCTAAAGCCATGGCATCAACCAACAAGTGGAGTTTACGGTGCCGGATAATCGCGATGTGTTCGAGAAGGTACAGATAATGTTGCCGGTAAATATTTTGTTTCGCTACAAATTAACAATAAATTAGTTCGAATGGAAGTGGACTCTGGTGCGGCAAACACAGTGGTTGGTCAGAACACATTTCAGGACATTTTGTCGCCAATGTTATCGGCAACAGGAGTTTCTCTAAAAAACTATCAGAACAATGGTATTACAACTATAGGAGAGTGTGAAGTGCAAGTAACTATTGAAGACATTTCAGCAGCATTACCACTGGTAGCGGTGGAAGGTAACCAAGCAAGTCTTCTTGGGCGTAACTGGTTTAGTTCTCTAGGAATAACCCTGCAGGGGTAAGTAATGTGACAAGAACAGCAGATTTTGTAAATGAATTCAGCAGTGATTTAGGTACCTTCGAGGAACCCCCAGTTTCTTTTAATTTAGACAAAAACATCAAACCTATTATAGTTCTCAAAGCAAGAGAAGTGCCTTTTGCTTTAAAAGACAAAATTGATCGAGAATTAGATGGATTAGTTGCGCAGTGCGCCTGTCTCTCGTCCTCGCAGGTGTACCCCGATTGTTGTGGTGCCAAAAAATAATGATGAGGTTAGAATCTGTGGTGATTATAGGAGCACCATAAATAAAGTTTTACGTGTAGATACATATCCAGTACCATGTGTTCAAAATATTTTAGCAGCTTTAGAAGGAAGAGTTTATGCCAAACTGAACATGCAACAAGCATATTTGCAATTAACAGTAGATGCTAAGGCAGCGGAAGCTCAAACAATTATAACACACCGTGGAGTATTTACATAGATTACAATTTGGTATTTCTATTGCCCCTCAAATATTCCAGGAGGTTTATTGGTTTACGAATTACAGGAATACCAGGGGTTTTACCCTACTATGACTACAGAAGAGGATTTGGAAAGGAAAATTCGTATTATATTAGAACGTTTTCGTGAAGATGGGCGTCGTCTAAGAAGAGACAAATGTATTTTCCGAGCTGATCAGTTGACTTTTTTGGGTTTTGAAATCAGTGCAATGGGTATTATGGTATTAGCCCTACCTCGAGCCCTACTGAAGAGAAAGTTAGCGCTATAGGTAATAAATGCTCCTTCGCCAACAAATAAACAAGAGCTACAGGCTTTTCTGGGTTAAAGCTACTACTGCTGAACCTCGTCATAAATTATTGCATAAAGACATCGTTTTTCAGTGGCGTAGGGAACAACAGGACGCATTCGACAAACTCTAAGCTCTTTTGGCAGAAGAGCCAGTTTTAAGGCATTATGACGAAAAGAAGCCTTTAATTTTAACATATGACGTGAGTCCTTACGGCGCGGCGTATGGTGCATTTTAAGTCAAATTGACGACTTAAATAGAGAATACCCAGTGGCGTACCATAGTCGTACGCCTTCAAGTTCAGAAAGAAATTTTGCCCAGATCGATCGTTAAGTTATCTCCATAATAACTGGTGTAAAGAAGTTCCACGACTACATTTATGGGCGTAACGCCGATGCTTCGTTGGACTACTCAACGCCTACAGCTATGATCTAGAATATGTTTCAGGAAGAGATTTGGGTAATGCAGATGATCTAAGCAAGTTACCTGTAAAATATAACATTCCAGAAGCTTCACTATTGCCAGAAGTTTTGATGCTAAAAAATGTACCGGAAAAAGTACTAACTGCAAGAGATATTGCATCGGAAACTTTAAAAGATCCGTTATTAGTTACAATTTTCCAATGGAAAGGTTGGCCAAAAGATTCAAAATACTTCCATTTTATCAAAGAAAAAATTAAATAACAAGTTACCAAGACTGTTTACTTTGGGGTACAAGAGTAGTTATCCCTCCAGGGGGGTGGAAAAAAGTATTAGACCTGCTGCACCAGTCACACTTGGGCATTGTCAAAATGAAAGCCCTTGCACGATCCTATGTTTGTTGGCCGAACCTGGACATTCATATCGAAGAAAAAGTTAACACATGTACAGAATGTCAAGAATATCACATGCCCAAGAAGTCACCAACCCACCTATGGGAATAGTCTCAAGCTCTCTGGACTCGCCTTCATGTAGATTTTGCAGGACCAGTGACTGGGAACTTTTTTTTCATAGTTATAGATTGATACTTGAAGCGGTTGGAAAGTTAGACAAGTCCTGAACACGTCTTCATTCTCCACTATAAAGGTCCTTAGAGAGCTTTTTATGACACATGGTATACCTGACGTAAAAGTCTCTGATAATGGCCGTGGATTCACGTCAGTAGAATTCAGATAGTTCCTCCAGAGAAACGGCATAGGGCAAGCGCTAAAAGCACCCTACCACCCAAGTAGTAACGGTCAAGCAGAGAAGATAGTACGAAATGTAAAAACGGCGCTTGAAAAGATATCAGGGACAGATGTGACCTTGAAGTTGTCACGCTACTTGCTTACACATCACATTTCTCCATACACTCTCACAGGAAAGTCTGCAGTAGAAATATTTATGAGGCGCAAACTGTCCACACTGTTAGATAAATTACATCCAGATTTTTCTAAAGAAATGGCGACCAAACAAAAAGTTGAAGCAGATGTCAGCAAACCTAGAGCTTTCCAAGAAGGAGAAAGTGTATTTACACAGCAGGGCCAAAGTGGATTCCTTCTACAGTTACACAAGCCCCAGGCCAATTGAGTTACAGGGTATCTACTCCAGATGGAAACATTGTACCTACGTAGACACACAGATCAGCTTCGCATGCGCACAAGTTCAAATTTCAACCAAGCTCTACCAAAAAACGAAGAAGCAATGGACATAAATCCACACGTCGATTCGATATCCACCGAAGAACAGCAAATACCAAGTTCAGCAGTTCCGGAGCCCCTAGTAACGCCTGGGAGTAGTCCACGGGTAGTGGAGAGTGCCGCTAAGGTTGGAGTCACCGTATGCCTCCCAGGTACCTGGCAGATTACACCAACTAGTGTTCTCTAGGGGAAGGAGTGTTGTGTATCGGACTGTCAACAGTGGCAACACTGGGAATACACTTAAAAAAGAAGACACGCTTGACAAGAAGGAATTTTCTCCGAGTTGTCATAGGTTTTCCTAATTGTCATATTATGTTTTGCTTGTTGTCATGGTTTTAACCTTAGATGTTTTTAACACGTTAAGGCCCAGTTGTACAATCTCGGTTCAAAACAAAGTTCAACCACAGTTTATACCGTACCGATACAGTTGTTCAACTCCGTTGACAAACCATTGATTTTTTTGAAGCCAAATTCTATGTCCCTATATTTCGCGCTTGCGCATTATTGATCGGAAACAACGAATCCTGGGCCGTGGACAGAGCCGGACTAGGATTTTTTGTGGATTAACATTGAGAATATAACGGGATCATATTATAATTTAGAAACAAATAATATAATGATTTTTTGGCTGTTTTATGATGATGTGATGTTCTAGAAAAATGGAGCACGCAACCAATGTGCAAAAATTTACTAAAGCTATCAAAAAGATAGATATTATGCATACGGCAAACTGGTATACTACATGCTGCAAGTCGATGGTTTCCTACAATGGGGCATAATACTACATAGTTTTAGAAAAAAATTAGCCATCACTAAGTTTTTACGCAAAAAAGTTCACTGGCTTTTAGACCATTAGGACACGGCCAGGATTTCAATCCCATCCAGATTTGCATCACAGTATTAGATATTTTTGGAATGTGGACAATTATTTCATCAGATCAAGATTATGTGAATGTATGGAGTAAACCTAATATGAAATATGTAAATATAAATACTTACAGTTGTTCATCGTTCGGGAAACTAAAATATCCTAAGCCTGAGCTAGTTCTAGTCTTGTTTTCACATGCAAAACAGGAAGCAACCATGATAATACACAATATATAAACCATAAAACAGTCAAGTACACAAAAATCGCGAATAACACGGAAAGCAAAACACTCTTAACAAAGCCGAATTTCAAATTGATGAATTTTCCGGTTACTTTTCAATTTCCTGAATAATTTCAGTCAAAAAACTTCTCTTCTTTTTTTGTAATACAATCCTGTTGCGTGTCTCGTTTGACAGTTACTTCTCGCGGGTCCTCACCCAAGATATCTCTATCTCTTTTTTGCGTGCAGGATTGGAAAGAGACATGTATATGCCGAACTGCTTTTTCAATTTGAGAGATTTGTTCACTCATTGAGCGCATGCGCAAGATATGGGTCAAAATGCTCCTATTGGTTGGAGAATTTGGCCTCAAAAAATATGGAGAGTTGTACAACTGTATCGGGACGGTATAAACTGGGGCAATAGTATGGACTGATTCCCAAAGCGCAGTGGTGTCACTAATCAGCAAAGACAAAAAGAACCTTGACCACATAAGGGCATTAACGAAACAACAATTAATCGAGGCAAATAACCAAGGCCTGGATATATATGTCTTGGATGGATCCCAGGACATTCTAATATTAAAGGGAATGAAATTGCAGACCAGCTAGCCAAGGTGGGTAGGATCCTGAGGGTGACATATCCAATTCAGCTCGACATAAAGGAACACATCCGGAAATTTAAAAAGGATCACAAAGCAATATGGAACACCTGGTGGAACAGGAAGGAAGAGCATACTATACCATTTCCAGGATTATTTCACACTAGTGAAATTTGATTTCAAATTCATGAAAACCAAATTCACATCAGTGAAATCTAATTTCGCTCAAATGAAAATTGATTTCAAAGTAACGAAAACTAATTTCTCACAAACGAAATTTGATTTCACATTTTTGAAAATGAATTTCAAACTGACCCTAATCAATACTTATTTTTCAAATATTTATTATTGCCATTTGAAAAAAAACATCAACAGCGTTACTTATTTCAACCTACTGAAATAATCCCATTGAGTTTAGAAAACTGTGGTTTAGATAACATAAAATACAATCATGAAACAATAATAATAATTATGAATTATTTAAATAAATTAAACTTCAGTTTAGCAAATCACGTGGAAAGGTATAATGCAGCTATCTCAAGAGTGAGAAGATTCAACTGAAGTTCAATTTATTTAAATAATTTATAATTATTATTGTTAATTGTTTCATGAGTGTATTTTATCTAAGTGAAGTTCGTGTCCTATCGGTATCCAATGAAGAGGGTGATTCGTCGGTTAGGATAAAAAAAATAATAAAAAATTTGTCTTTTCACAATTTTATCAATGTATTGTGATTTTGTTATGTGCAATTGAATGTTCCATCCTGAAAAATCTCGCACTATTTTATATAATTCTAGCCACATAATTTTTTAAGTACAAGGCATGTAAACTTCAGTTTTTTGTTAGCACTTTTTTGATGTTCCTAATATATATTTTAGCCCTGATGAAGCCCTAAACTTTTGGGCAAAACGTTGGCAAAGACTTGACAGGCCTTTTATGTTTTTTTTTTGTCCCAACCGACGAATCACCCCCTTCATTGTATTTTATGTTATGTGAACTCAGTGGGTTTATTTCATTAGGGTGAAATAAATAACATTTGTTGATGTTTTTTTCAAATTAAAATAATAAATGTTTGAAAAATTACTATTAATTAGGGTCAGTTTGAAATTCATTTTCAAAACTGAGAAATCAAATTTCGTTTGTGAGAAATTAGTTTTCGTTACTTTGAAATCAATTTTCATTTCAGCGGAATTAGATTTCACTGATGTGAATTTAGTTTTCATTAATTTGAAATCAAATTTCACTAGTGTGAAAAAATACTGGAAATGGTATAGACAAAAAGGGCAGCAAATACAAAAACTTGGTGAACGGTTCTCGGAAGCTCCCTGGTTCTACGACTTGGAATAAATTGATAGAAGGCATATCACAACAATAATCAGAATGCGAGTGGGCCATTGCTTGACCTCTCAGCATCTACACAGGCTAGGAATCAAAGAGACCCCAGAATGTGAATGTGGAGAAGAAGGTACACTGGAACACCTGCTTTTCGAATGATTCCCAAACAACAAACACAATCTATATGAAATTCTTGTAAACATAGGTGTGCAGGCCCCAATTTCGTTGGACACAATTTTATTTAACCCAGTCAGCAAAGTTAATAAATTAATTGTCATTTACCTAGTTGAAAATGGGGTTAAAGAATCCAGCTTGAACCAAGACTGTACAACTAGGCCTTAATCAGTTTCCAATGTATTATCATCGTTAATGTATGTTGTATGTCTTGTTCTCATAGAAAATAAAGAGTTACAGAAGATAGTCTTGATCGTCATTCCAGCCCTGGAACCGCTAGACATCCTAAAATTCCTAAAGGACTAGAGGGGCTGCTTTAAGCAGGAAACCCGAACTTAGCAGCAGAAGGAGGGGTACAATAGATCAACCTTGGTCGCAGTGCAACTGACACCTCCAACACATACATACATAGTCTTGATCGTGTTGCTGTACTGAGTGTTAATCCTATCACGGACACTGGCCTGGAAGATGAGGTTTTCCACAGAGTAGTAAGACCAAGTCTCTGGAGTTTAAGTGTATATGGAAGGTCTGTAAGTTCAGGATGTCTCCTAGTTACTCTCTGGATAAGGTCCAGCACAATGACATCTTAACACAGATAGACACCACATCTCATTCATAAACTCATGTTTGTTGTGATGGCAAGCCCCCCATGGGCCCAGGAGAGGTGATCTGCTCGAGGGGGGTTATGCATGGTAGGGATGCATCAGTGTTATAAACAACATCCGTATTCCCCTCTGAATCCCGTCTTTCACTTGACCAAAATAATGGATAAATTCGCACAGGTGCAACTCGTTTATCTATCTGTCTGCCTCTAACTTATATGAGGTAAGTTTGACGGGCGCGTTGCCATGCCAATCGATTGCAGGTGTGTTCCGCCTGTCTTAAACCCGTATTATTTTTTTTTTATTACATCTGTGTATTTTTCTGTGAATTTCTTCATGTAGTTGAGGGTGACAACCGAAAAACTTCAAAAGCAACATAAATCAACATTATGAAAAACAAAATAATGTTGGCACCCTGAAATACATGAAGAAATACACACAAACATACACAGATGTAATACGGGCTTTACAGAACCAGCATTACCAGTAGTCGTTTTTAGTCTTGAACCTCCAACTTTTTGAAGCAAAGTCATGACAGGATAAGATATCAATCCGTAACAATTTGGAGGGGATACACCGGTGGTGGATTGCTTTCCTAGATGTTGGCGACACAAAATTTTGTTTACTGTAATGTATATCTGTGTTAGTATGTCATTAGTCTAGGACTTCAAAGTACTTCAAAAGTTATGGAGTGACTTGATGAAAGTGCTGTAAAGTCGCTGGACGAGGGAGATCCGCCTATAATAGCTCTCTGTATAAAGTATACCAGGCTATTCCTTTCTTCGGTAATGAGTGAAAGTAGTGAAACTAATATGTGATTCCCAAATTCTCAGTACATAACATCAATACTTGGAGTATTCAGGTAGTTGAGCATGTTGGTTTCAATGGAGAGATTTGGAAAGAAATTCATGTTACGAAATGATTTCACAAGGAAGCTGGAAATCTGCGACATCTTGGGTGATGATATTTTCTATGTATTTGCAGAGAGAATTTGCAAGAACATATATCTATACCTTTTAGGGCCAAATATGGGCTGACTGGTAAACGTCTGGTTGTTACCTAGCAGGTACTTTCAATGCACTAGAGAATAGAAAGTAACAACCAGACACTTACCAGTTGGTTCATAATTTGGCCCTTAAAAGGAAAACTTCTCAGTTATTTTATTTCTATTAAATACAGTGTCTAGACAGAATTTGTGTAGTTTAAAATGGTGTTTAAAACACGCTGGTGCAAAGACTCCTAAATGTAACTTTTCTCTCTCTGAAATGTAACTTTTTTTCTAGGCCAATGATTCAGTAATCCAAGGCTCCTTAGACATGAAAGGGGCTGTAGTGGAACTTTTGCACAATCCTGAGCGTCCCGGTTTGGAATGGCTAATCAGGATAACCCCTTCAACGGCATTAATAGCTTTCGACGTTGCTGTACAGTCGAGAGATAATGTAAGGATAATTCTGGATTAGGTTTCGTCAAACTAATCTTTCCATAAAAGGCTTTTTCTCATTTATCTTTTGTTTAAGACTCAATTTAATTATCCACTTCTAAGAAATATCAATGATTTAAGGTAAATGTGAAAAGGTTGAGAATGTATAAGTTTTGTACATATAAACATTATTTAGTCTTTACTGCTCTTGAGAGTCTCCTTTTTTCCTTATTAGGCTCTAGAATGGTTATCAGCAATTCGAGATGTGACTCAAAAAGCAACCCAACAAGAAATCCAACACAAAGAAATGGAACGCACTTATAGGATAGCAAAAGAACTGTCGAATATTATAATCTATTGCCGATCGATATCGTTCAATATGGAACGAGCCAAACAAGGATTTGTGTTTTACGAAATGTCTTCATTTCCTGAAACTAAGGCTGAAAAATTGATGTGCCAAATGGAAAAACAATTTTTCTTAAAATATCATCAGGTAATTATTAATTTGTATTAATAGAATTTAAGTAAAATGCCAATTTTTTTTATCACTAGGTACAATTTTCACGAATATATCCGAACGGTCTGAGGATCGATTCTTCAAATTACAATCCGATAAACATGTGGAATTGCGGATCTCAAATGGTAGCTTTAAATTATCAAACTGGCGATAAACCAATGCAATTAAATCAAGCGAAATTTCGTGATAACGGAGCTTGCGGTTATTTGTTAAAACCCGAATTTATGACCAAGTAAGCTACCAAGATTTTTATTTACATGTATTTTTTTTATTCTTCTAATAAATAATAATTTTAGACCAGATTTTGATCCATTTGATAAAAATAAACTTCCTGGAGAAGAACCTGTAACTGTTTCAATTAGGATAATAGCAGGACGGCATTTTTGCAGGTAAAAATAAGTTTATAATTTTTTTTTAATTTTATTATTTTTAAGTAACCTATTCCAGATCCAAAAAAGGTATAGCAAGTCCTTTTGTCGAAATCGAAATCATAGGAGCGCCATTCGATTCGGGAATCAAACAAACAACCAAAAGAATAATGGATAATGGGTTTAGTCCCAAATGGAACGACGAGCATTGCGAGTTTATAGTTCACAATCCTCATTTTGCTTTGATACGTTTCGCTGTGCAAAACGAGGATGTCTTTGGCGAACCGAATTTCATTGGACAAGCCACATATCCAGTAAGAACTTTCAATATTTATTTGTAAATGTAAATTAATACAATATAAAACTCATGCTTCTTTTTGAAAAAAATAAATAATTTTATCATGATTGGATTTTAATTTAATCATTGACTATTTTTTTTCCAGCTGACGTGTATTAAAAAAGGCTACAGGAGCGTTTGGCTTAAAAACGCTTTCAGCGAAGATCTGGAATTGGCATCTCTATTAGTACATATCAGTATAAAACAGACAAAAGACAATATTTCGCCGAGATAATATGAAAATTAATTATTAGCAAGCTCGCTAGTTATTGTGCCTAAGTAGAAATAGGTAGCTTTCGCAATAAATAAAAATAACTTCAGTGATTGAAAACGCCTTATATGTAATTGTGAAATTTAGGGTCTATTTTTTTGTCAACAGTTACAGTTTAATCACTTCAAAGTCTTCAATAATATGCATACTAAAAATGTCAACCAATAATAATTAGACTTTAACTGTTAACATAAAACGAGCCCTTATTGATTTTTGCATTTAATTTGAGTAAGCATTAGGATGCTCACTTGTCCAAAATCTGGTGATAAAATGAAATTCTAAAAATTTAAAAGGTTAAAAATATATTCAGTTGTCAATAATATGCTTCTTTGTTGTAAAATTTTTTGGGTATTATTATTAGTGAAAAAAAATAGCTCAAAACTATATTTTAATATTTATTATCAATTATTGTTAAAAATGAAATCGTAATAATTGTAATGTGTATTTTTATTAATCAAATTTATGTTTATAAGATTTTTTTTTTTTTGAAAATTATTACATATCTATATTTTATGTGTAATGGTATAACATACATGTATGGTGTTTAACTGAGATTTTTAATTCATTTATAAAAATTCTATAGTATTGTATATAAATTTAATTTTTTTGTAATAAACAGAGTCTAAACTAATACTTTGATTTAGTATAATTTTATTTTTCATGTAAATAATAATTATTCATCATCCCTCAGTGAGATATTGAGCTTCTATAAGATGTTTCTATGCTTGTTTTGGGCAAGATGTATAGTTTGTTTAGAGTATAATACTCTTATCTGTTTTCACTTCTCTAAGTTCAATTCCAGGTGAGATTTTGTATTTGAACAGTGTGAACTTTAAATCTGATTTAGTCTCCTCCTGATTTCTAACAATACTTCTTTAGAACAGAATCTGATCTCTTTCTACTAATTTCTGATCTAGAAGTTAGTTCCGGAATTTCAAGAGGAAAATCTTTTGTATTAAACTATTTACAAAAATTGGTCTTCTACATTACTTTACTAGTGACGATTTCTTAGATGTCAACATGATAAAATATACCTACTTATATTTTGTGTATAGGATATCAGATCAATATGTATTTTGATAGGACTAAGATTATTTCAGCACCCAGAGTTACAAAACTTACTTTTTATTATGCATGTATCATAAGGTCTGTTTCCACAGAAATCCCAAACTAGTCAGACCGTTTTTGATAGGTCCAACCAGTTTCCTGACTATTTTCAACCAATGAACTTCGCTGACTGGTTTGTGATTTCTGTGGAAACAGATCTATAATCAACGATTATCGCATGCTGCAGCGTGCAAAAAGTTATGTTTATGATGCTCCTACCTTTTCAAAGGTTTGCTATAGAAACGTTTGATCTACTTTTATTACCTTGATATTTACCTGCCGTTTAAATTACGATTTATCAAAATGAATGACCACTAAAACATTTTTGAGATTATGAGCATTTAAAGCCCTTGCGACCCTCAAAACACTCCGCTGCGTGTCGTGTTTTGAAATGTCGCGAGTAATATAAAATAAAATAAAATAAAATAAAAATCGGTTTATTGATGAGAACAAAGAAGAGAAAACCCTGTACACATCAAATGGTGATTAGACCGCAAAGCGTTTTTTAATAACCACCAATTCAATAATTTAATATCACTTATTAACTAAAACAAGTAAAGATATCATAAAATATCACAATACTCATCACAATAAGTACATAAAATGTATAAAATAAAATGTATAAAATATGAAATATAAAACATGAAATATAAAACGTATAAAATATAAAACCTTGAATAACAATAATTACACAACCTGAAATGATGATACTGGCAGTGGCAAACCCCCATTGGGATACAATTATTTACATTAAAGACATAAATGCTTATCTCGTATTTCACTTTGTACCCTATTCCCAAATCCTATTATATTCAATGAAAACATCTGTGGAAAAAAGTTATATGTGTGTGCTACCAAGTAGATGAAACAGGACTTGAATAGTTCACAGCGATGTTGTGGAATATTTAATAATATTTGTCCATTACGTGTGTTAAATTGATGTATATCACCTCGCTTAACCATCAATTCGAGGAGATACATAGGAATAGAACTCCTTATAATTTTATAAATCAGGCAGCAGAGATGCAAAAATCTTCTCTCTCCCATGTTGTTATGAAAGGTGTCTGTGACAGATTGGCTGACATGATCTCTGCGCGACAACTTGTGCACAAATCTCACACATGAATTTTGTATTTTTTGAATACGGTATTTATTAAAGTTAGTTAAAAAAGGACCAGACACAACATCAAGATATCCAGGAATTGACAAAACAAGAGACTCTGTTAGATTTTTTTTAGTTGCTACCGGTAACAAATCTCTAAACTCAAAAAGAGTTTTGAGACGTAAATAGCATTTTTGTGAGATTCTATTTACATGACTATTGAAAGTAAAGTCAATACACAAACCTAAACTTTGAACTTCATCCCTAAACTCAATTTTGGTATTATCAAGATAGATTTGAGGTTCAATATTAATATTTGCCTTTGTGATAAGGATTCCTTGAGTTTTTTTAGGGTTTATCACAAGTGAGTTTTTTTTTTGCCCAGTTTGATATTGCGTTTAGGTCGCTAGTTATTGCAGCGCTGCATTCTACCATTCGATCACTAGGTACTTCCATATATATCTGTAAATCATCAGCATACATATGGTATAAACAAAATTTTAAGACTTTAGGTAAATCTGAAGTGAAGATAGCAAAAAGTATGGGCCCCAAAATTGACCCTTGAGGTACACCAGACACAACTGGCCTCCACTGCGAAATAATTATTTCTCCATCCTTATTTAATTTTACGGCTTGTTCTCTTCCTGTGAGATAGTTTTTAAACCAATCATTACAAGTTATTTTAAAAATATTTAACTTAGTCAGTAATAGTTCAAGATTAATGGAATCAAATGCTTTCGTCATGTCAATTAGAATGAGAGGACAAGAATGATTAGAGTCTAGTTATATCACTAGTTATACGAAGCATTACGAAGTAATGCTGTAGTGCAACTATGACCAGCTCTGAAGCCTGATTGAAATTTTGGTAAAATACTATGAGATAAGATAAATTCGTCAAGTTGCCTCTTTACTATTTTTTCAAGGATTTTCGATGCAGTTGGCAATATACTTATTGGTCGTAAATCAGTTAAGCTAGGGTTGTCTACTTTAGGTATAGGAATTATTAAAGCTTTTTTCCATAAACTTGGCACAGTCACAGTCCCTATTTCTAGTGAATAATTTATTACCTATATTAATTAAGGGATGCAAGCAGAATGGCAGGCACAGTTTTAACATACTTACAGAGATTCCATCCACCCCAGTGGCGTTACTTTTAATTTCAGCAATACATTCTAGAACGTCAGCCTCATCTACACTTTTAAGTTGAAATTGATTAAATAATGAATTTTCTATGTTTAAGTTTAGATCAGTAATATCAGCCCTGAGATGGGGAATATTTGCTAATAAAGAATCGTTAATGACATCAGCATCTTTCAGGTCATCCGGAATATCTTTTATATTTGTTTTTATGATATTCCAGTTTCTCATTTTTTGCCAGAAATGTTTAGTTTTATTCGATTCACCTGAGTAATTGTTTAATTCAAAATTGTAATAGGCAGCCTTCTCAGCTTTAATTGCAGTGCTACAATAATTTTTCAAATCAAGATAATACTGTTTGCTACCAGGAGTCTTCAACTTCAAAAATCTATAATAAGCAGACTAAGACTGATAATCTTTTTAATAGTTGCAGTAAGCCAAAGTGGTTTCTGTTTACCAACTTTTTTAATTTTAATAGGACAGTGTTGATCAAGAACAGCTAACAAATTATTGTTGAAAACATCAACTTTGATATTTATATCATTACTCTTGTATATATCATGCCAGTCAATGAGGTCGACCAATTCACGAGACAATATGTGAAAACTTTCCACCGACATGTATATTATTTTTTCTCCAAACGTCAGAAAAACGTCACTTTGTTAATCCCTGTCAAGATGTCAGAAATTTGATTTCTATGGTGCTAGTCAAATCCAGTGGGTAATACCTGTCGAGGTGGTAGAAATTTAATTTCTATGCTGCTTGGCAACCCCAGCGGCAGCAAAAGTACTTTTAGTGCCGCTGGAGCGGCAGTAGAAGTACTTTTAGTGCCGCTCGTACTTTTGCTGCCGCTCAACCATTCACTTGCCCCCGAGCTTACCCCATTCGTTTGGAAAAAAAAATAGCGTGTTGCATACGGAGTAGAAGCACTTTTTTGTGCTTCAGCAGTATTGCAAGCCTCACTACGTTCGGCTCGCAAACCTACCGCTTCAGCACAAAAAAGTAAAGCTTCTACTCCTAATACAACAATATACTTTTATTTTCAACCATTAATAATTGAAAAAAAAAATAAGGTAAAAATATGACAAAAATGGAATTTCGACTGACACTCTGACACCGACATTGACATCTTATGAAATAGGGAACTTTAAAAAAAAAAATTATTTTTTAAGGGCCGTTTGCTCCGACCATTTTAAGGAAGGCTTAACGATAAGTATTACTTAAAGTGATATTTTTACATGTAAAACTGTCATTTTAAGGTATACTTATTGCTAAGCCTGCCTTAAAACGGTCGGTGCAAACGGCCATAAATCATTTATTTATGCCTTGAAAGAGTACTCCCCAAATATTATTCCCTAAAACTCAATAATAACTTGGTGAAAAATGTTTAAAGTTTCGCGCGTATTAAAAGCATTTCAAACGATCTTAAATGCGCGCGAATCTAGATGACGTCACGTAGTATGATTTAGCGTCACCTTGTCGTCAAACGTTATATTTTACTTCATTGTATTTAATTTGGTTTATTTCCACATTTTCCACCGTTATTTGTTTTGTTGTTGTTTTGGGTTGCGGCGAGTTGTAAATTTTTAAGTTATAATGGAAAAAAAGATTCGCACATACTTACTTTTGCTACTATAAACATATCACAAATTACAGATTGGCGGATTGGCCTTTGGAATTTCCTTCTTCGGTTATAATTAATACCTAGGTATATCGTTTTCTTTATACAGGGCGTACCATTTAAAACGAAACAGGCTTAATATCTGATGTCACGTTTATTTTTAAAAAAATCGCTCGTACATGTCATTTGATTTTCAAAGGGGGAAGCTTTCTGCAACCATTTTAAGCACTTCAACTTTAACTCTCTAGGCGGGGTGGCACCAACCCTTACTATTTCAAATGGAACAAGGGGTCGAGTGATACCTCGTTTAAAAGAGCGTTCAATTCTCTTTCATTAGATGTCATTTGAAAAAAAATTGAACACTCTTTCAAAACAGGTATCACTCGAACCCCTGTTCTATTTGGAATGGTAAGGGTTGGTCCCACCCCCCCTAGAGGGTAAAGTTAGTGCTGAAAATTTCGTCAAACACTCACACAATCAACTTACGTGTACGAGCGATTTTTCAAAAAATAGAAGTGGTATCAGATATTTAGCCTGTTTCGTTTTAAATGGAATACACTGTATAATGCTGAGCTAATCATTGAATTTAAGCTAAGTAGACCAATTCTAATAATGATAAAATTTTAAAAAATCAGAGAAAAACGTAAATAAACACAGCTAATGGGTAATTATTATGTAGAGTTCGAGTAAATGCTCGGAATTGCTGTTTTGTTCTTTTATCCCTGTTCTTCTCATCATAAGGAAAAAAAAACGGAAAATGTTCCGAGCGCTCAGTGTTTCAAGACGAACTCACGGTATGATGGACGGTTGCTGAC